TGTGGTGCTGGGGGATTGAACTGCGGTCCCTGTGCTTTGCTAAGCTTGTTCTAAGTAGGTGCTTTAGACCACTGAGCCATCTCACCAGCCTGAGAATTCCGAGGGTAGAGAATATTTTAATAACTTAGCCTTGTTTCCTTTCTCAGTCTGAGTTGGGGAAGGGTTTTGGCATAGTTCTTTTAAGAAAAGAATGGTTTAAACAGATGGAGAGAATAGGAGCCCTGCTTGTTCACAAAATGCAAAACTGAAGGGAGTATTGATGCTGCTAAGCTATTCTGAGATACTCTGCACCATGTTTATGTACCCTTGCCACTTTTAGCTCCACAGAAAGCCTTTATGGGAGCAAACTGTTAATAGCTTTTGTACTTGTTTCAATGGAGTCAGTATTTGAATTTGTTTTATGGAACAATAGATAAGAATGGCAGACGTTGAAGTCCCTTGCCTTTGACGTGTGATAAGGTATTTTGGAATCCTGTTGCCTATTTCTCAAATGTAACTTTCATCCCTTAAATCTTCAGGGTAGCTATCATCTGCCTGCTCCTTGTTTCTTAGCTGTGGGAGACCAAGGACCATATATGTAGTGAAGGAGCCAACAATCTAAAGGGTTTTCTGTTTCTGCCATAAGAATGAGGTGGTGCTTCTTGATTTCAAGAGTGTCAGAGTGATTTGCATAATATCCCAGAAGTCCACATATGATCACAAGGTTTTTTCTTATTTTAAAATTAAATAATTTTAAATTAATGTAGTAATGTTATATGACAAATTGTAGGGTAAAGGAAATGCTTTTATTTAATTAGATTTCCAAAGAAATTAATTTTTAATGCTCACTTCGGCAGCACATATACTAAAATTGGAACGATACAGAGATTAGCTTGGCCCCTGTACAAGGATGACACACAAATTCGTGAAGCGTTCCATATTTTTACATTCTCTTAGTTTAATGAATAGCGGGATTTGTTCTAATAGTGTTTGCATCTTGTACAACAAATAACCACTAAGAAAACAATATGCAATGTATTAATTATTGAAACTGCCCTACTAATTTGATTTGAAACTGTCTCATTGCTATTTGTTTCTCAATAAAATTATGGAAAAAATAAAAAAGAAATTAACTTTTATTTTGGAATTTCTTTTTTTTTT